ACTCAAATATGGTGATTTCTGATAACACCTTTCCAGCCACTTTGCACTTTTAACGTTATTATAATAATAATAATAATAATAATCCTTGCACTTGACACAGCGCCTTATCACGTCTTCGAGACGTCTCAAAAGCGCTTCACAGGAGACGCTGTAAAGTGTAGTGACTGTGTATTTTGTGGGCGAAACGCGGCAGCCAGTTGCGCACAGCAGAGTCTCCCATTGTCCTGACCAACAATCCCTGAATAAAATCGGTCGTTCATTCCGTGGGTGTTTGTGGGGCATTGTCGTGTTTGCCTACAAGATGCGCGGTGTGGAGTCCTGTCGCGTATTGGTGAGGGCACTCGCCTCACAAGCGAGAGGACCCGGGTTCGATTCCCGGGCAGTTTCCTCACTACATGCAAAACTACTTGTACGATTGCTACGACTATTCCGCAAAGGGAAGGAGAATCCGTATCGTGCACTGAGTGCAGCACCTTCTGGGGAACAGGGGAATTGCAGACAAAGGCCAAATGATTGTACATTTTGTTTGACCTCAAAGAAAGCTAAAGCATTCAAAAAACCTAATATAGATTCTAGAGTCCTGTAGTGTATTGGTTAGAGACTTTGCCTTGCGAGCGAGAGGACCTGGGTTCGATTCCCAGGCAGGGAAAACCCTCAGCAAGTTTCCTTACTCCACATGCCTCCGTTTACTTAGCAGTAAGTAGGAATCTGGTTGTTAGTCGATTAGTGGATTGCTTTATGGAGGGGGTATTAAGCTGCTTCAGAACTCTGCAGCTCGTGTACTGTCCCGCACCAGGCTTCGTGACCACATCACTCCCGCCCTCACCCTCGCCCTCACCCTCGCCCTCGCTCGCCTCCACTGCTCCCCATCCCCCAGAGGATCGAATTCAAGATCCTCATCCTCACCTACAAGGCCATTCACGGCCTCGCTCCCTCCTACCTCTCCGACCTACTATCCCCTACTTACCTGCCCGTACCCTCCGTTCCTCCGGCTCCGGTTTGCTCCACATCCCCCGCCCCAACCGCCCTACCATCGGTGGCCTTCAGCCTCTCAGCCCCGAGGCTCTGGAACTCCATCCCCAGTGCCTTCGCCGCTTCCTCCCTTTCCTCCTTCAAGGCCGGTCTCAAGACCTTTCTCTTTGACCTTCAGCCTTCAGCTCCACTCTCGACTCTCTACCCCCTCCTCGCAGCCTCCCTTCCCTCCCCTCACCCTGACCTTTTCCCCCCAATGCTCGGGTCCTGACCCAACTGTACAGCGCCTTGGGACGTCCTCCCGATGTGAAAGGCGCTCTATAAATGGAATCTTGTTGTTGTTGTTGTTGATAAAAAAAAATTGGTAATTCAATTCACGACTGTTTGTGGGACGCTGCGGCGATTGGCTGCCGCGTTTCACCCACAAAACATACGGTCAATTCATTTTACAGTATACTCTGTAACGCGCTTTGAGACGTCTCAAAGATATGATGATAATATAATAACAATCCTTGCATTTGATACAGTGCCTTATCACGTCTTCGAGACGTCTCAAAGCGCTTCACAGAATATACTGTAAAGTGAAATGACCGTATATTTTGCGGGCGAAACACGGCAGCCAATTGCGCACAGCAGCGTCCCATAAATAATCGTGGACTTAGTGACCAATTTATTATTTTTTTTAAAAGGGATTATTACCCACGGAAAAGTGATCCGCCAATTGACTAACAACCGGGTTCCTACTCACTGCTGATAAACAGAGGCGTGTGGAATAAGGAAAATTGCCCAACATGTCGTCCTGCCCGGGAATCGCACCCGGGTCCTCTCGCTTGCGAGGCGAGTGCTCTAACCCCTGAGCTACAGGAATCCACAAGGCGCTCTATCAAATGTACATTATTATTATTATTATTAACGGTGGACGTAGAACTGCGCGATATATGTTTGCACAACGTATCTTGATGCTAATAACATGGTTAATCCACATGTTAATCCAAATGTGAATATCGTCACAGAAAAAGGCACAGAACACACAGACTACTGGCTTTCACATTCAAGTGGGCTGGAATGCCTTCTTCACGCAAACATTTTTTGCGAACAGTCAATCGATAAAACAAAACCGACCCAAATTCTACAAATTCCAAGCTACTATCAAGTGATTACAAGAGTGTAATCCAATCGCAAGGTTCAGACCAGGGTCGATTATGATAATCCTTGCATTTGATATGGCGTCTTATCATGTCTTATGGGATCACGGTTTCATTCTTGTAGTTTCTGATGTTATCTGTAGCCTTTCATCAAAATGATCCATTCAAAGTTGCTCATGTACCTTCTACTATTAGGGACAAAATACAAATTTGAGTAACCATTGTCTGGAGTCCTTTATAAAACCATATTTTCAGAGAGCAGCACACCCTGTTATTAAATGCACTGCGAGACGTGATTGGAAAAGAAGAATGTCGTACTTCTGAGAAGGTAGGAAAACAAGTTTTATAACCACATGTAGAATTTAAGTGTCGTAAAAAATGCTTGAATTTTTTTTAAAAGAATGTAAAATTTAAAAAAAAGTTCTCCTGCGACCTTCCTCATTCCAATAGACAATGTCTGGTCTGTCTGGATGTTGAGGTTAAAGCCCCGAGGTGGGAATTTGAAACCGCAATGCTCTGACTCAAGAGGTGAGAGTGCTATCCACTGAGCCAGACTGACACTTCTGTTGAAAGCTTTCAGAAAATATGTACCACTAGAATCACCACTGCTTGTCGAATCTTTCTGGAATACATCTGGAAACAACGACTTGGATTTATAATCGTGCCCTTCACACAGGGCAGTGTCTCAGAGCGCTTAACAACGGTGGAGCCTGACACCGAGTTGAGGAGGAAGGTCTTTATGCGTGATCTGAAAATGGGGAAGGAGGGATTGAGGGAGAGAGGTCCAAAACTTTGGGTGTGTCGTGGCTGAAGGCATTTGCCGATTGTGGAGCGGAGAGGGTGGGTGGTGGAGTGGGGAGTAAGCAGAAACAACAACAAGATTACATTTGTATAGCGTCTTTCACGTTGGGAGGACGTCCCAAGGCGCTGGACAGAGAACAGCATTTCAGACCCGAGGCTGGGGTCAGGGGGGAGAAGGGAGGGGAGAGGAAGGGGGGTGGCCGATGTCATGTTCGAAGAGGAGGGTTTTGAGGCGGGACTTGAAGGAGGCTAAGGAGGGGGCGAGGCGGAGTGATTGGAGGATGGAGTTCCAGACGTTGGGGGCAGAGTGGCCGAAGGCTCTCCCGCCAATGGTGGGGCGGGTGGGTCGGGGGACGTGGAGCAGCCCAGAGCCGGCTGAGCAGAGGGAACGGGCGGGTCGGTAGGGGGTTAGGAGGTCGCAGAGGTAGGGTGGGGGCGAGGCCATGGATAATAACAATTATTATTGATATTATTAATTAATAATATGAATAATAATATTATTAGAAATATAATGTTAAGAGTGTTTCACAGCAATGGCTAAAAGCCATCACTGATGTGACATCCCAGTCTAACAGCTGGAGGTGTGGGATACCTGAATCCACACCTCCATTTGATTTGCAAAGTCGAGGTTTGTATGAAGATCCCAACGGCAGTGTTAAGTGGGATTTGCAATTCAAAAAACAAATCACTGCTTTGTTCATTATAGTAAGTGTTTCTTTATTTTCATAAAGAATACATCAGAAAACAGTAAAAAAAATAGACATACAACCATCAAAATGGAGGCGCTGCATAAAATACATTATTTCCTGCTTACAGATATTCACAAACCACTTTACAGCTTTGTTCTGTTGAGGTATTTATAACAATTGCATTGAAGGAGGGAGAAGGGAAGAGAGGGTATGGGAGAGGGGTGTTAAGTAGAAGGATGTAGTATAAACATTGGCAGCAAGATGGTTTGAATGTCCTGTTTCCCTATTTTAGGTTCTATTGATTCTATGAAACAATGCTGTGAATAATTGCCATTTATAAAGAAAAGCTACAATTCAATCATTAACCATCTCGTGGAGTCCTGTAGCTCAGTGGTTAGACCACTCGCTTTGCAAGCGAGAGACCTGAGTTCAATTCCAGGCAGAGGGCGAAACCTTGGGCAAGTTTCCTTACTCCACACAGAGCCTAATAATAATCCCTCCAAAACCAAAAACAATAATAAATTGGTCTTTTTCAATCACCGACTGTTTGTGGGACATTGCTGTGCGCAATTGGCTGCCGCGTTCGCCCACAAATATACAGTCAATTCACTTTACAGTGTGTTCTGTGAAGCGCTTTGGGACGTCCTCCCGACGTGAAAAGTGCTATATCAAATGCAAGGATTATTATTATTAATTATTATTATCTCGATTCTTGGACATTAAAGTCTTATTCATTTTTACATATTTACACACATCTCATCACATTACGTTGCTTTCTGATCCAAAAGGTTTGAGACATCTCGATGACGTGATGAGGCGCTATGATCAAATGCAAGGTATATTATTATTATTAAATTATTTATAATCTAAGATATCAAGAGAGGATATCAAATAATTGTCAACAGTGACATGGAGTGCTTTAAAAACAGACTAATTTAGCAGCAACAATATGGCTAACCCACGATCCCACTCGTCTTAGCAAACAAACGGAAAAGGGGTTTTACATTTTAAAATGCTTTGCAAGATTTGTGTGCAAACTGCAAAAGGTACATCTAAACTCATAAACACTGAAGTATTAAAACGTAAGTGATGTGGCCTTACAGTGGGATTTCCCCATTATGAATAGGATTATAAAGTGATTGCCTGTGATCTAATAAACTGGCTAAACAGGCTTTTCAGAGCAGCTGGCTAAAACCGAGCGGCTCTCTACAGTAACTGACCCCAACAGTAATAAGCATTTGCAGATGATGAATGCACTGTCTGATTTATATTTCATTTTTTTTCTTTAAAAGGCAAATGAGAAAATTAAAAAAAACTGGAATGTTCAAAAGCATCTCAGTCACAAACACACACACACACACTCACAAAGACACACACACACACACACACTCACGCACACTTACTCACAAACACTCACACTTACACACACAGAAGCGAGAATCATTTGAAAAGGTTTTGGACAATGAACGGGGCAAATGGAGTGAAACATCATGGAAGGAGGGAAAGGCTTCTCCAACGCTGTTGCTATGGACTTAACAACTCAGAAAAGTTGCTGATATATTGGCTCTTCGATGATACAGAATTTATTGTCACTCATGGCTCCATGACCTTCAGTTGCAGGAGATCAGAGCCTGAGGTCAAATTCAGTCAGTGACCTAAACACAAGAGAAAAAAAAGTGTGAGACGTACAAAAAGTAGGGGAAAAGATTCGACTGCAGTTTTTCTCCCATTTCCCCCGAGATCACAGTCATCCAAGTGCTGTGTAGCAGTGCTCTGAGCTCCGGCATTTCCAATGTGTTTTGCGCGAGTATTTATTGCTTACGTTACCTGTCTGATCATTCCGTGCGTTGTCTTCACAGACACATTCCTCACAATGGAACGTCGTTGCTCCAGGCTGCCGCAGAATGCTGATTGTTACCTGCGGCAAGAATAATTTGTTGTTCAACCAATATTTAGCAACTAGGTTATCATCATCATCATAATAATATTAATAATCCTTGCATTCGATTCAGCGCCTTATCCCGTCTTCGACACGTCTCAAAGCGCTTCATAGGATATACTGTATTGACTGTGTATTTTGTGGGCGAAACGTGGTGCACAGCAGAGTCCCACAAACATTGAGTGACCAAATTATTACTATTACTATTCATTCATTCATTTAGAAGGGATTATTACTCCTGGAAAAACAATCCACCAATCGATTAACAACCGGGTTCCCACTTACTGCTCGGGGAACAGAGGTGTGCGGAGTAAGGAAACTAACTAAGTTATGTCAGATTTGTGCCCATCACACTTTTCTCTCTCTCTCCCGTTGGACGGCTACACTCAGCGATTGCTTATTCATCTTCAACTCACAAGATCACAAGAGAAGTTTGGACGAAGAGGGTGATTCTGGCCTATTTGATCTCATTGGAACATCCTCTCCCATCACAGCAGCAAGCTGTTTATTCAACTAGCTCATTTAAACAAGAAAACATACCAACAAAATAGGTCAAACTGGGTCAAGCTTTTTAAAATCACTGCACACTCTCTTGTAAAGCATTTACACTGATGCTAATATTTGAAATTGTTGTTTGGAACCAAGTGGGAACAACAAGGGGTGACTTGAACCCGGTGATCTCTTTAATACAATAATAATTTGATTTGCATTTGAGGACTTCTCAAATGATTCACAGGATATACTCTGTGTCGTGTTGTGACTGTGTTTTGTAGGCAAACTGTGCAGCCAATTTGTACGCAGCAAATGCCCCACAAACAGTCATGAATTGAATGACCATTTCTATCTGAAGGATTTGTTGGCCAGAAAACCAACTCTCTTTTTTCGCATAGTGCCACGAGATCTTTAACATCCACCTAGACAGCCGGAGAGGACACCGGTTAACTCCTCATCCAAAGGGAAGTTTGTGAACATTGACACAACAGGACAGCAGAAGGTGCAGCTCTGAAGTTCTTATTCAGTTGGGATCCCACAATAAATAATGATACCAATCAAGAGAGCACAACTTGCAATCCCAGAGAGTTAAATTATCAAACAAACAAAAACATCACGAATGTTCGGCCGCTCACAGTGATGTTAAATCCGAAGAACAGGGGCCAACTTTCCCTCTCATCCCCTACACTCACTTTTCAAGTGATGTTTGACCTACAGTTGTACCTTATCTTTCTCCCCCTCACTATGTGAGATATCCGGCACTCAATCTCAGTTAGCTTTCCATCACATCTCCACTTGACATCATTGCTGTGAAAACCTCAACTCTTTATTCTCCTTCACCTTTGATCCTAAATTAATCGCCTGGGGATTACGTCCAAAGAGATTGGCGCACATTCTGTTCTCTCTTAAATAAATATGTTCATCTACAAAATCACCTCAGCCAGGAGTTCCTTCATCATTGACCCTCATTACAATGAGCCCTTATTTGCACCTCTCCCTTCCAGGTTGTCAAGTTGCTGTAAATATGGTTTCAAATGCTCAAATCTATGCGAATAACTTATAGTTTCAGCCTATTTAATTCTTGCATGCAATTACGGAACAGGCTCCCCGGCGAGACAGGCAGACGGTGGAGGCAGAAATTGTTAAGAACATAAGAACATAAGAATTAGGAGCAGGAGTAGGCTATTCAGCCCCTCGAGCCTGTGCCCCGCCATTCGATAAGATCATGGCTGATCTTCAGACCTAACTCTAATTACCTGCCCTATACCCATATCCCCTATTTTTTAAAAATCTATCAGTCTCAGCCTTGAAGATGTTCAAGGACTGACATCTACAGCCTTCTGGGGGAGTGAATTCTGAGAGAAGAAATGTTTCCTCAACTCTGTTCTAAAAGGCTGACCCTTAATTTTAAGACTGTGACCCCTGGTTATAGACCCTCAGTGTCTACTTTATCAGCTCTTTAAGAATCTTATATGTTTCAATAAGATCTCCCCTAATTCTTCTGTACTCTAGAGAATACAGCCCCAGTTTATTCAGCCTCTCCTCATAGGTCAGTCCCCTCATCCCAGGAACTAACCGAGTGAATCTACGCTGCACCCCCTCGAGGGCAAGTATGTCCTTTTTTAAATAAGGAAACCAAAACTGCACACAATACTCTCGGTGCGGTCTCACCAAAGCCCTATACAGTTGCCGCAAGACTTCCCTACTCCTGTACTCTAAACCTTTTGCAACGAACGCTAACATGCCATTCGCCTTCTTAGTTGCTGCTGCACTGCAAACTAACTTTTTGAGACTGGTGTACAAGGACACCCAAATCCCTCTGAACAATAACACTATCTAATCTCTCCCCCTCTAAAAAATAATCTGTTTTTGTATTTTTTCTACCTTGGTGAATAACTTCACACTTCCCCACATTAAATTCCATCTGCCACCTCCTCGCCCACTCCCCTCGCCTGTCTATATCCCGTTGCAATCTTTTTGCATCATCCTCAGAGCTTACTCTCCCACCGAGTTTAGTGTCCTAGTTGTTTGTTTCAAGAACAAATGAGATCGATTTCTGCTAGAAAATAATATCTGGGGATAGATACAGTATATAGTTTGGGACATGACATGTCAAGTGACTGCCAGGATGGTGGAAGGTGAACTGGATGGACCTCGGTCTTCGTTCGCCAGCAAATTCTTATGTTTTGATTAGCAAACACATACCTCTTCTTCCACGGCCTTTTGGACGAACATATACACCTCCTCTATTGTGCTGATCTGCAGCTTGTTGATTGCTGTAATAATGTCTCCGTGACAAAAAGCACACTTGGCATCCGAAGAGTGAGTAACACTGTAAACAGGAATAAGACTTCTGTTAATGGGCACTGAGCACAATTCTAACAAATGACCCATTCGATGAGAAAAGCCTAAAGAGAAAGGAAGAATAGAAATTTTATACCAGGGATCAGTTTTTAATACAAAATAAATGGTGCCAACCATCACAGGCATTGGTTATATAATAGAGTGAGTGTGTTGTAAGTGGGGAAAAATAACTATTCTGTTCAGCTGAGAAAAACAATTCCCGTGGAAATGAATTACTAATAAAACAAATATATTGTTAATAAGATGTATTGTTAGACCTTTCTTCTGGTGAACACAAGGCAAGGAAAAGTCCCGCTTCGATTCCGAGGGAGATATAAGAAGATCCGAGAATGCTATAGGTAAACAGTAAATTGCCACAGGCATGTGAAGGGGCGACACGAGTGCGGTCTATTGCTGCTCCCGTCTGTTGCATGATTTATGTATATGTGAAACCATGTCCATCTCTGCTGACACGGACATGTTTTCACATCCACACAACTGAGGCACAGGGGTCCCGCTTTCACATCCCTAATAAGAGGCTTCGGATATTCATCTGCATCATTGTTCGTGCTTGTAAGTGTGTGGGAAGGAAGAAATGGAGAAATCGAGAAACTGCCTTGATATAGATCTGAGAACAGCAGAGTCATCTGGTTGCTCTCTCAGTCAGGGAATAGAGCAGAGACAGGACAACCTCAAGAAAATATTTTAAATGATTCAAATAAATTGTGTAAAAATAGCATGAAAATGTAATAATAATAATACTCCTTGCATTTGACGTCCCAAAGCGCTTCACAGAACACACTGTAAAGTGAATTGATGTATATTTGTGGGTGAACGCGGCAGCCAATTGCGCACAGCAATGTCCCACAAACAGTCGTAGATTGAAAATAGCCAATTTATTATTGTTTTTGGTTTTGGAGGGATTATTATTAGGCTCTGTGTGGAGTAAGGAAACTTGCCCAAGGTTTTGCCCTCTGCCTGGAATTGAACTCAGGTCTCTCGCTTGCAAAGCGAGTGCTCTAACCACTGAGCTACGGGACTCCACAATATCTTAGAAAATAGTGTTTTCCTTAATTTCAACCTGCAGAAGTGAAAACACTGACAGTTGCTTACCAGACACTGCCATTTGGTTCGGAAAATGACAGACTAAATTGCACTTCTTTTTTGGAAACCACACGATCCAATTTTTCCGGCTTTTTTTCTTCTATAACATCCCTGAACAAATTGGAGAGAGAGAGAGATTTGTAATGTGTAATAGCCTTAGATTACCAAAATAGAGTTGAAACGTCGGGCATGTGTGAGGGATTCAAACTGTAGCCTTGACCCGAGCCCCAATCAGATGAGTTACTACGCCTCATTTTATGGATGTCTTTCATCTCTTGGATTTCAAAACAGGTGATGTGTTGGCCAGCACACTGGCATTCACGTAGAGCATATAAGAATACCTGCATCTGTTATAGTGTCTTTCACGTCAACAAGACGTCTCAAAGTGCTTCACAGGGCCACTTTCTATTTTGTAGGTGAATGTGGGCAGCCAATTTGCACGCAGCAATATTCGGTAAACAGCTACGAGGCTGGTATTTCCGAGTCAATACGTAGTAGATTGTACAGAATAGGTCAAGACCCAATTGACAGCCACGACAAGGTTAAACTGTCTGGTCACGACCCCTTTAAGCTTTACAAGAGATGAACGTCCTAATGAATGAGAACTTCTTCTGCTATTAACCAGTGCCAGAATAGAGAAATCCTGGGTCAGATATAAATACTGGGAAAAGGCAATTTACAGGTCCTTGTGCAGTGAGCTTCACATACATTAAAGTAATTATTATTGAAACAAATGGCATCACAGCTTTTCGATCACCCTGTGTGAGGCAGGAAACGCATTTCATTAGTTAAAGAAGAAGAGAATAGTTAAGTGAACACTTTCTGACCTGTTCAATGCTTTCAGTTGCCTCGTGTGTGTTGGCAGGTTCATGTCCCACTCTGTCTTTCCTTTAAGAGACGCGGCAAGTGACTGTTGTGGGAGAGTCTCGGTGTTCAAGAGATCTTCACTTGAACTTATTCTGCTATATAGATAAAGCATTTTTACAACTGCTGAACAGCACGCCTCAACATATGAGGTACCTCAACAAGGCTACATACCATCCTTCATTTATTTTTAACTGGGTCCAATATCCTAAGGCGTGGGCTATAAGCAAGGCGTGGAATAAACGTCAGACTTTCATGCTATGCTTAGGAAGTGACTTTAGTGGCACTTTTGTGCACAGTGACATAGTGCAGAAAATGACATTAGTGTTGACCTGATGATCTGACAGACAGCCATGTTATAGCATGAGAAGCCGGCCAGTCAGCTTCTCATGAGAGCAAGTCCACAAGAAAAGCTCACAGTGTAAGTGAAGTGGCGCGAAAACTGGGTTTCCCTGTATTACTGACCCAAGTACTAAAGGCTGACTGCAAATGTATTCTGTCAACCCACTGAAGATTACACCTGCTGTATAGTGCTGACAAGACCTAAAAATCATTGGTAAATAATAAATTGGCGTCCCACTGTGAAATCGCACCACTTAAAAGTGTCCGTGTCCCTGAAGTGGCCTTTATACTCTTGGCTTTCCTGCTGTTCTTTTGCTCGCTCTTGTTCCCAAATCCCCTGCACTCAACTTTAGACCTTAAAATAGAGCTAAAGTTAATGATAAACAGCAACAGGTAGAATCAGATTGCTGCACGTTCCCCCGCCCTGCCCGCTCCACTATCGATGGTCTGGCCTTCAGCCTTTCTGCACTCGATCCCTGAGCCACTCCACCTTGGCCCCTCCCTTGCCTCCTCCAAGGCCCATCTCAAGATCCTCCTCTTCGACCGGTCATCTTGCCACCACCACCCCCATTGCCCTCCACCCCTCTTAACTCCAGCCCACAGCCTGGACGCAAATCCTTGATTGGCCAGGGCCTTGGTACGTCCTCCCGGTGTGAAAGGTGCTACATAAACACAATTTGTTGTTGTCGTTGTTGCGTAGAAAAAACAACTGCATCTGACACAAACTTCAATGGGAAAAATTATAGCTGAACTAAAACTGCGCAGGCTTATTTATTCATTATCTCCAAAGTTCACGGAAAAGAGATGAAGACTCGAGGTTTTATCACGGCCATCTACAAAGCTAGAGACTTCATTATTACAGGCAGCGAGCACTGAAGAAAAGGCCCATTGCCATGTTTAGTAATGACTGACTGAAGGTTAATCCAAGTTAGGAACAATCAATCATTCTTTACAAGTCTGCACAGGGAGCATTGAAGAATCACAGTTTGAATTCCGAATTTAGGAGAAGGAAGGAGTGAGGGACAAGTGCCCTTTGTACTTTAGGTTATGAATCATATCTTTAAGATGCTTCCTTGATCAACATAAAATCTAAATGTGTTTTTTAGTAGGGCTTACTGTGGCAACAGTTGATCTCAACGTAAATCTCACTTGACTTACTTTCAGTAGTCAGTAGTTCACAGAGGACCGCCCTGTAGTTCACAAAGCATTATTGGGCAAAGTTGAGTGCAGAGGACTTTGGAACGCAAGAGCAGAACAACAGCGGGAAGACTAAGACTATAAAGGTCAGTTCAGGGACACTTTGAGACACAACAGTTTAAGCAACAGGGCAAACAAGGAAAACATTCAACTAAGGTTTCCCCCTGCCCTGGAATCGAGACCAAGTCCTATCGCTTGCGGGATGGGTGCTCTAACCACTAAGCTACGTGTCTCGTTGTCACACACGAGCAATAAAGCCCCAACTAGTTAGTTAGATAGGAAACAATATCCTGCACTTACCTCGTTAAATTCGTGCTTTCCAAATCGGTGGTCAGACATGGCCTCTCTTCAGCCTTCATTTCTGGTCTGAGAAAAAAATACATTTGAGACAATTGATGGGAGATTCTCTGATCATTGTTAACAACAACAACAACAGCAACAGCTTGGATTTCTATAGCACCCTCCACGCCAGACGGCATCTCAGAGCGCTTCACGGACTTCGGTTTCGGGAGGTGGGGGAGGGGAAGTTAAGGGTGTCTAATTCTATTGCCGCCACTTTATTGATCTTGGTGAGCTCGTGTCGAGATTCTCCACCCTCATACCAAATGCAAGGATTTTTATTATTTTGCATTTTTGTTGCTTGAATTGGGCGCAGAGCTTGATAGAGGAGTGATGGATCCGTGGTTTTTAAGTAAAATAAATACACCATCCATCAACTTAACTGGGCATTCATTACATTAATACAATATAAGTCAGTGGATAGGATTATGGAATGTAAACTATTTTCCTCTGGCTAACAAAATTCGTCCCCCAAACGTGTTTTTAAAGCAAATTCTGCTATGCAGCCACAAATCACAAACGGCTCACGATAAAATGAAGATTTCTTAAATTTCAAAATACAATCAAATTATACATGTTTTGATATTTGTTTGATCATTAAAAGGGATCACTCAAAGTCATAAAAATAGTTTTGGAAACCCTTTCTGATACTCACATCGATGCCATGGACATGTAGATCCCTGAATCGTAAGATTGTGATCTGCACTATTGGAACAAATAAGAGTCTTCTTAGTATTAATAATATTAATAATAATGAACCAATCCCTCAATTCCTCCGTCTCATTCGCTCGCTCGCTCGCTCACTCACTCACTCACTCACTCACTCACTCACTCACTCACTCACTCACTCACTCACTCACTCACTCACTCACTCACTCACATAGAAAAAAACATTTCCTTTAGTTGCGGGAAAGAAAAGAATAGAAATAGTAACAAGGGGCATGGACTGTTAGTAATATGATTTGCCTTATCACAGTGAAACATCTCAAAGTGCTTCACAAGAGTGTAGTGACTCGGTGTTTGTAGTAGGTGAACATAGCCGTTAATTTGCACACAACTAGAAACCTCTAAGATCATCAAAGGGCAATGATAGAGTAGATAGTGGGAGATTGTTTCCCCCGGTTGGAGAAAGTAAAACCAGGGGTCACAACCTTAAAATCAGAGGCAGCCCTTTTGCACTGAGTTGAGGAAGAACTTCTTCGCTCAAAGGGCGGTGAACGTATGGAACTCACTACCCCAAAGGGCTGTTGACGCTCAGTCCTTGAACATATTCAAGACTGAGGTAGATAGATTTCTTATTGCAAAAGGGATTAAGGGATATGGGGATAAGGCAGTGTCAGGTTATTAGCTGAAGTAGAAGGTCAGCCATGATTGAATGGCGGGGAAGGCTCGAAGGGCCGAATGGCCTACTCCTGCTCCTACATGTTGTTATGTTATGTTAGCAAGATCTCTCAAACAGCCATGAAGTTAATGCCCATTTTTTAAAATAAAATCTGGGGCATTGTTAGCCAGGGTTTGGTAGTCAAAAGGGAAACACAGTTCTCTTTTCAAACAGTACAGTGAGATCTTTAAAGTCCAACTGAACAGGCAGAGGGGACTTCACTTTAACGTCTCATCCCAAGGACATTATACTTAATATACACTGGTGAGAAACCTGCAAACAAAATTAAAATTGTTTAAGTATCTCATCCTGTACTTACAGATTTTACAATTTTCCGTGGTGTATCATAGGTGGCTCCAGAGGTATTTGAAGATACAGCAGATACTGAAGATGCTCGTGGCTTTTCTTCCACTACTGTCTGTCTAAACTGCTACAAATAACGTTGAAACAACATAACCAACAAGTTGTGTTTATCGAGCGCCCCTCACATAGGGCAGTGTCCCAGAGCGCTTGCTCTTGCAATTATATTGTGCCCTTCACGTAGGATGACGGCTTGGGAGAGCCGTACAGCGGTGGGGTTGGACGCTGAGCAAGGGAGAAGGGGTGGGGTGGGGGCGGGGGGGCCATATGTGGGAGGTCAATGAGGTAGGTGTTTAAGAACTGATTTGTGTTACTATCAAGTTGACAATAACATTGAGTTTTGTATTATTGGATGTTTCGTATTTTCTTTGCTCTGTTGATTAAATACAACTCAAATAATCAAAGGCAAAGCTGAGAACAATGTGCCCCAGTTCCATTGCTCGTCATTTCACCTCATCATCTCAAAGAGCTGAAGCCGTGTGGATTCCCTCCCATCTTTTCCCTCGGAACAAAAGTACGACTCGAATGAATCAAGTCGAAAAACACTCAAGCTATTTCAAAAGGCACCAATTTCATGAAGTATGTATTGTTTGGCAAGCATTTTTTGAAGGCAAGAAATAAGTTCATGTTTTATCTTACCTGTGTCATTGAACTAGTTTTGAAAGTGACATCAGAATATGGCCTTTGCTTCTGGAATTATAAACACAAGTTATAAGATTCAATGTTTTATATTTCGCCACTTTACTGAGTGTGTACCACTCAAACTTCAAATTCAACGGCAATGAAATCGACGACACTAATACACTACTGACTTGGACTTTTCGAGTCCTGTAGCTCAGTGGTTAGAGCACTCGCCTCGCAAGCGAGAGGACCTGGGTTTGATTCCCGGGCAGGGGGAAACGTTGGGCAAGTTTCCTCCTTCAAGGCCGGTCTCAAGACCTTTATCTTTGACCGTGCCTTCAGCTCCCCTCTCGACTCTCTACCCCCTCCTCGCTCCCTCCCTTCCCTCCCCTCATCATTTTCCCCCGACTTGGGTCCTGACCCAACTGTACAGCGCCTTGGGACGTCCTCCTGACGTGAAAGGCGCTCTATAAATGGAATCTTGTTGTGTTGTTGTTGTTACTCCACACGCCTCTGTTTACTTAGCAGTGAGTAGGAACCCGGTTGTTAGTCGATTGGCCAATCACTTTTCCGGGGGTAATAGTCCCTTCAAAAAAAAATGTAATACTAATTGGTCACTCAATCCACGACTGTCTGTGGGACGCTGTTGTGCACAATTGGCTGCCGCGTTTCGCCCACAAAATATACAGTCAATTGACTTTACAGTATATTTTGTGAAGCGCTTTGAGACGTCTCGAAGATGTGATAAGGCGCTGTATCAAATGCAAGGATTATTATTATTAATTGCTTACCCCTGCCTCTAGTATATTTTTGGGCACATCATAGATGCACTGAATGGTTTCTGGTGGATCAACTGCAGAATAAGCGGATAATTTGGTTTCTCCACCTCTTTTCCGTTCTACCTGCAAACATAGAATAGGAAAGTCCACAAGTGTACTTGCTCGGTATATTTAATGCATCACCTGATTTTTTGCACAAACCCTGACGACTTTACTCACTCGGCAGCACTCTTGCCCTTAGGTCAGAACATTTGTGGGATCAAACGTTAGAATTTGGAGTTTGTAGTCTCCGCTGACATTATAGCGCAGTAGCAAACATCAAACAATGGCGAGAGATATGGTCGATACTACAGAAAAGCACTTCAATCATTTCAAAAACCAGGTCTGGGTTACCTCAGCTAAAGTTTCTGATATTGTGGAGTAAATTGTGTGTGAGTTGTTGGTTGAAGAAGCTTCTGGTTGTAGATGTGGTATATCTCCATGGAATCTTCCAGAATAATTCTGCAAAGAAGTTGTGGTGAGAAGGTCTTAGTTATCAGCTGAGCCCATTTCAACATTTGTTTATCATTTAATAAGACTTTCTATTGAGCTCTCCGCCACTGTCAAGCGCTTTGTGACGCTACCCTGGTGAGGGGCGCTATATAAATGTAAATTGTTGTTGTTTTTAGAACATGTTTAAAATAGAGATTGCTGAGCTCTTGCGTGTGTGAAATAGATCCTTCATTTTATGTATGATAAACCCCAAACTATACATTTTTTGGGGGAGTGGGCGGTGTGGGGAGAAAAGTCATTTTAGTCAATAGTGACTTGTCTATCGCCGATTCAAAATATCCGTATGGGCAAGACATTGTCAAAGCACCCACAGTCTGGACGACCACAGAATGCTAAAGGAGCATTGCATATTTTGCCTCCAGACTCCTCTGAGATTTGAGCTCACCTCCCCTTCCTTTCTGAATGTTTAACCAATTCTTGGATAGTTCTCTTGCTGAAGTGCGTTCACAAGATCACAAGGTTAGTGTGGATAAAGAAGGCCCTTCATTAATCCTGCCTTACTGAAATGACCATCCCATCAGCTGGCCACAAAGCGACAGTGTTTTGTGGGTGAGAGTGCTGCCAATTTGTGTACAGCATTGATTGTGCCCAAAACAGCCCCATTCTCTTGCATGTTTTCCTATAGGATACAGTGCTGTTATTGACAATAAAGGTCCATTTATTACCGGTTGGTCTTCAACAGGAGAAATGTTTTTCAAATTCAGAATTTTCTGTTGCAAGTCCTTGACTTGATCTCTGTGTAAGAGCGGGCGGGGGAAAGTGGGGGTGGAGGAGAAGTGGGGGGAAAGCAGAATTAAAATAAAGCTTCACAGCTTATGAAATATTTCGCATTCACATTTACAGTCTATTCCAACTATTACACAGCTCAAATATGGTCACACCTCAATAGATGTTTGAACAGCCAATAACTATTGCTACTCCCCTGCCCCCCGCACCAATTCCTCCCTCGGTGGCACGAGCATTGCACAAACTGTTGTTTCAAAACAGCCGAGAGTGAATCCAGTTGACAGTCGAGTAGCAAAAGATGACAACGACAACTTGCGATTTTATCTGGCGCCCTTCACAAGGGGCAGCGTCTCAGAGTGATGAAGAACCAAGCTATAGCCTGTCCTCAAGATGTCCACGTTTCATCAGCGGTTACTGAACAGTGGCCAGGGACCATTTAATTATTCCTTCTTCCCAGCCCAGCACCCACCACAGCTCCCCCCAGCCCGCCCGCCCGCCCGCCCCCCCACCACTGCTGTCTGGGTAAGCTTAGAGAATGTAGAATGCTTGCAACCCAGAAAGGGGGCCACTCTGAGATGGAGTTCAACAGAAATATTTCCTGGTGCTTTGAATACTTACTTCTCTCCAATGAAAAAGTATTCCCTTCCCTCCGTCTTCAGAAAAATAACTCTCTCTCGGGTGCACTTGAACATTTTCTCAAGTGTCTTCCATTTGGCATGGTGCTGTGGGCCGATGTCCATCTCTTTAATCCTGTTTAACCATTGAGGAACACACATTGTTGTGGCTGGAAAACCAATCTCACCCAAATCAGTGGTTAGAGCACTCGCCTCGCAAGCGAGAGGACCTGGGTTCGATCCCCGGGCAGGTCAGGGCAAAAGGTTGGGCAAGTTTCCTTACTCCACACGCCTCTGTGTACCTAGCGGTAAAGTAGGAACCGCAGTTGCTAGTCAACAAGTCCTCTCGCTTGTGAGGCGAGTGCTTTAACATCTACTCTACAGGACTCCAGAAAATAGTTTCCAGAATTTAGCAGAGAAAAGATTCTTGAAATAATTTCATGACTTATTTGCACAGGCTTGGTCACATGAAACAAATAAAAATGATTACCCCTTTATAGGTATTTCTCCCAGTGCTTTTGCACTTTTTTCGTCCCGGTTTTTATAGTACTTCAAGATGTATTCGTCACTTTCTTCTCTTAATACGAAGTATCGTTTCTTCCATGATGTCTATAGAGATTAAAAATTTGAATCAAAGATTATTGAAAATGTAAGAAAACACAGAATATGGCAAAAGTTCAAGCTGCGTTAAATACAAAGTAAGCCACCTCACCTATCACGTATATTCAACGCAGCAAATCAATTTACAGGTGTCTTCAGTACATTTACACGTGTAAAAGAAGCACTTTTTGTGCGCGCAATCATAAGTTTGGTTTGGGGGCATCAAAGGAGATTATAAAAAGAGTTAAGATTCTCTTAATTCAACTTAATTGCCTTCATTTGCAAAATGTAGTGCCTTTCGGTGACATCAAGATCTTGTGCTGGTTTGGTGAGTTGGACTGACAAACTGGTGAGGCCGATGGGATCAGAGATAACTCCCATTTTGCTCACGTAACCTAATCATTTTCACAAAAGAATAACATTTGACCAAAGTCATTTTAATTGCATACCTGTGACGTGAACTTATTGATTGGAGGTGATTTCTGAAGACATCCTTCGAAGAAATTGGCCCCAGTTGCGTAAAATATTGAACTTGAACGTTCTGTTTAAATTGTTTTTAAAAAAAAAGACATTGTCACGAATTGCAATCAAAAATACCGCATCTGATTCTCACCCGATTTAAAGGCAGCACACTTTAAAATATTTATCCTTTTTTTTAACCATTCCACCTCTCCACTCTCTGGAGTAAAACTATATAACATTTAATACGGTTTACGTTAAGTCCAGGTTGCGGGAAACTTTTAGAAGTTGTATAAAATCCGATTTGATCAATAAAATTAATCAAAGTTTCCAGCAACGCTTTCCACTTCCTCATCACGTTCTGAGTAAAGCAGTTCCTTGTAAAGATCTGTATCAGCTATTTTGAAGTCAGTTAAATCTCGTCGATTAGAATCAACAAATACCTCATAAAACAGCCTCTTAACATCCGGTTGATCAAATATTTTCAGGATCTTAAACAATGTAGTAAAGCCCTTAGTATTATCCACTCCTTTGAATGTTTTCTCACTCTTCCACCGAATTGTACCGGAGCTAGCATTTATTTTGCTGTGTGTAAATAGAAATGTTACCTTTTCTCTGCATTTTAAGTTCTTCACAGGAACTCGAAACAAAACACGATCTGGAAAAGAAGAAAAACACATCACAGACTGTGACCAGAGTTCCTGAAGCAATAGAGCAACGCTAAGTGTATATTGATTTATAATAATAATAATCCTTGCATTTGATATAGCGCTTCATCACATCTTCGAGACGTCTCAAAGCGCTTCACAGAATATACTGTAACGTGAATTGATTGTGTGTTTTATGGGTGAAACGCGGCAGCCAATTGTTGTAAGTCATTTCAATGTTATTGTACCAAACTGTTGCAAATAATTTAGTGAAATTATAAAATTATAGGAAGGCAGAGCTAGGTTAGAATTTATTCCAGCGGGGATTATTTCTTTCAATATTATTCCTTGTGAAACTTGCTATAAATGGTAATGTCCATTTTTTAAAAAAAGTTTCTTTGTTAAGTGTCAGTTTCATTATTATTAGAAACACGAAAAAAAATCAACTTCAACAAATAGTGGTAATAATAATCCTTGCTTTTGATATAATGCTTCATCACGTCTTCGAGTCGTCTCAAAGCGCTTCACTGTAAAGTGAATTGACTGTGCATTTTGTGGGCGAACGCGGCAGCCGATTGCGCACAGCAGCGTCCCACAAGCAGTCGTGGATTGAGTGACCAAATTATTATTTACTTATTCATTTATTTAGTGAATTATAACAAATATAGCTGCGGTATATAAAAACACATTAGCAACAGTGGTGTTTTAAAATAAATAATTGCAATATTTTAAGAAAAACATAAATAGCTTTTAAACATGAATTTAAAAATCATTAAACGGATGTAAGTGGATGTTAAACAGTGTAAGTAAAGATCACTGCAGTGAGTTTTAATTCTGGTAAAGCCTTTTGTAACCTTTGTGATCTTTCTTTGGACCTTTTCAACTGGAACATTTCCCAGTTCTACTCCTCCTCGCATTTATTTCAACTCACTGAACTTTTTAAAAAAATCAACAACAAAGCCCCCACCTCGCCCCCGAAAATTTCTCCGCCTTCTCCAAAACGCAATCATTCTTTTTGTGCAGCGAAAAAAGTTGATAGAATTATAATAACAATCTTGCGTTCGACATAATGCTTTATCGCGTCTTTGAGAGGTCTCAAAGCGCTTCGCAGAATACACTGTAATGTGTGAATCGACTGTATAATTTGTGGACGAAACGCGGCAGCCAATTGCGCACCGCAGCGTCCCACACACGGTCGTGGATTGAGTGACCAAATTATTATTGAAAACTTTTTTTTAAAAAAAGGGATTGTTAACCCCCGGAAAAGCGATCCAACACTCGACTAACAACCGGGTTCCTACTCACTGCTGGTAAACAGAGGCGTGTGGAGTAAGGCAACTTGCCCAAGGTTTCGCCCCGCCCCGCCCCGGGAAGCGAACCCGGGTCCTCTCGCTCGCGAGGCGAGTGCTCTAACCACTGCGCCACAGGAATTGGAATGTAAAAGTTACGTGCACCGTCCCTGGTTTACAGACTCGGGGAAAATGATAAATCTTCAACTGCCTTCATTGCGGTTACACATACTTGGCCTAGCGGAGCTTCACAGAACAAACGCTCAATGACGTGACAACAGTTTCAGCTGAACACTCACCAGCAATCCAATCCCCTGTACAGCCGCTTCTCATCTAATCAGCAGTCAGAGTGTGCAATTTTACCTGAGCAGACTGACTCCTCCCGCCCCGTGTAGAGACGGCCTCCGGAAAATAACACACGAATGACTTCCTTGCTGGGATTTCCCTTTTATTTCCTCCTTCCAAACCTCACCACCGACCTGCCACCAAGCGCACAGACTAATTCCCACTCGTTCTTTACGAAACAAAGGATCGTGCCCAGAGCAAATGAATAGTCATCCGAAATCACTAAAATGCTGATGTGAAACTTTTGCTCTGTTTCGTTCCACTTTCCTCCCACTTCGCTGCAGTTAGGATGGTGAAATCGATGGTAGATATGCGAGCAAGAAGATTATTTTCAGCTATTGCAGGGCAACAGGACAGGAGGGCATGAGTTCAGCTGAGGACCATTTTGGGATACAAACCAGGAACCAATTCTTTATAATAATACTTGTATTTGATACGGCGCCTGTCTTGTCAGCACTTCAAGGGATAAAAATAATAATAAAAGTAATAATAAGAATAATAATCCTCGCATTTGGTATAGTGCCTTGTCATGTTGGAAGGACATCTCAAAGCGCTTCACAGGATTTACTGTGACACAAAGTGATTGTGTATTTGTGGGCAAACACAGCAGCACAATTACACTGTCCTACAAACAGCCATGAAATAAATGACCAATTTTATTTGGAGGATTGTTGGCCAGGACACTGGAAGAACTCCCTACACTTTTGAATATTGCCATGAGATCTTCAATGCCCACCTCGACAGGCAGGTGGGACCTTGGTTTAACGTCTCATCCAAAGGATGCAATGCAACACACAAATGATTCACACACACCAGCATTGCACTGGGGAGTCAACTTGGACTACGTGAGTTCAAGTCCTGAAACGGAATTTGAACCCACAAACTTCTGACTCACGGGCAAGAGTGTACCACAGATGTATTGTTACGTGAGCTGTAAATAGTGTAAATAATATAAAGTGAGCTGATTGTGTATTCAAGGAGGCAGCTAATTTCCATGCAGTGATTTGGGACAAACAACCTTCAAGTTAAGGAACAATTTTATTTTCCGGGATTGTTGTCTTCCCTTTTCGACTCGTGCCTTGAGATCTAAAAGTGAATTTTTACTGTGAAATGTAGTGACTCGTGCATTTTATAGGATAAATGCAGAAACCAATCTGTACAAATTACCTGCAAAGTGAATGACCAATTATATCTGGGCTGTCGTTGGCCAAGATACCAGGAGAGAGAAACTGCCTTCTTCGGTGGGCTTTGAGAACACATACCTACGATAGCAATCAGCAACAACAACAGCAACGTGCATTTAAACAGAGCCTCTCACACAGGGTAGGACCCAGAGCGCTTGACAGTAGTGGAGCACGACGACAGCTGGGGGGGAAGGAGGAGGTGACCGTAGACACGGTCGAGGAGGAAGGTCTACAGGCGCGACCTGAAGATGAGGAAGGAAGGGGTTGAGGCGGAGGAATAGAGGGAGAGTGCTCCAGAGTTTCAGGGCGTAGCGGCTGAAAGTGCGGCCACCGATGGTGGAACGGAGGGCACGAGGGACAAGCAGGAGGCCGGAGCCAGTCGAGCCGAGGCAGCAGGTGGTGGGTTGGGGGATAAGCAGGTCGGAGAGGCGGGGAGGTGCCAGGGCACGAAGGGATTTGAGAACCAGCACAGTCTGGTAGAGGCTATCATGGCCGGTCAGCTAGAAGCCTGTATACACTCACTGATTATTTTTGACCCCGCGTGTAGTTGTCTTGGTGGTCCTCGCAGTTTGAATGGCACAGTTTTGTCCAGCTGCTCTCTCTCCTGATTTACACGTTTGCAGAACATTATGTCCTGTGCTTATCTTCCATCGTTCAAAGATACGTCTGTTTTTTTTTAGACATGACAATTGACCCTCCCAAGAACGCAGCTTCATGTCTTAACATGACCATCTGGTGCGGGAACAAAGTGAGTTTGGTTCCTTTTTTTCTCCCCTGCCTTCAATAACCAGCGTTTTTATTTCAAGATAAAACGTATCTTCCCATGCTGGTTTTCAGGCACCAATATTTTGCATTTAATAGTAATCCTAATAATAATAATAATCCTCGCATTGGATACAGCGCCCTATCACATCTTTGAGACGTCTCAAAGAGCATTACAGAATATATTGCAAAGTGAATTGACTGTGTATTTTGTGAGCGAGGTGGCATTTAACTCCAGCAACGCACTAAATTGTGCAGTTTGCCTAGATCAAGATTCTGTTTGCAAAAGTATACAAATGATCTTTGGAAAATTGTAAAATTGCTGAATAGAAAGACTAAAATATCTCTACAGCTGATGTAATGACATCCGTGGGGGCTAAACATGGAACTTTGACCTGTACAGGACAAAGTGTCCGAGTAACTGTCCATGTAAATCTCCTTTTAGTCACAGTCTGAGTTGGTCAGAACTTTATGTGCTCTGTTAATTGATACCGAACAGAAATTTACTTTGCTTAAGTCTATGTGCTGCTGAAATGCTTTTTGGACGGGTTTTGTTTCGGAAATAATTCCATGAGCAAAGATATTCCAGAAAAAAAGGTGGTAATAATAATAATAATAATCCTTGCATTTGACATAGTGCCTTATCATATCTTCGAGACGTCTCGAAAGAGCGTTTTGCCCACAAACTATACAGTTAATTTACTTTACAGTATATTCTATGGAGCGCATCGAGACATCTCGAAGATATGATGGGGCGCTGTATCAAATGCAAGGGTTATTATAATTTATTACTTGTGTCTGGTTGTGTGGGTCATCAGAGGGTAGATAAGGAAAGAATGTGCTTGATTTCTTGGGGGAGAAAGTGGGGGAATTCATAGGATTAAATAAACCTGTGGTTACTATGGAAATGTGAAGCTACAGATTCAAGTGGTTTTCAGGGACTATGTGTGACGTGAGGTCGTCAAGCACCAGAATTTTCCAATTCATAAACTCTTCAAAGCATTACCTGCCGGTCCATGTATTGCTAAACTGGTTTATTCTGTCTGTGTAGTTCTCGCGCTTAAACCTGGGGAAGGCCCCTCAGACACAATAACTAATTGTGCAGTGACTGACACTGACTTATTAAGTTCCTATTTGTTTCCTGGTTCCAAAAAGCCGAAGGAAAGACATAAGATGGATTCACAATGAGTACTAAACTTGCCCAGAACTGGTGAACTGGTGACAGACATTAATAATGCCTTGGAAATCCCTGAATTTAAGGAGATTTCCTTCCCCTCACCATAGTATATGATAAGGCGCTATATCAAATGTGTGCTTGCGTGTGTGAGAGAGAAAGAGAGAGAGAGAAAGGAAAAAGAAATGCAAAGCAAGATACATTTAGAAGTGATGTTTTCTTGTTATATTTATATAAATTCCCTTGTTTTTATTTGTGAAATTGATAATGGCGCACATTACACAATGCCAAATAGGATATCTAAATAGACGCACAATATAAATTACATTCTTTGGGATGATTTTACACCAGACAGTAGTTTTTAACGCTGACTTACAACTCTGCAAATAATGGCTGCCTGGACATAAAAGTGTGTTTAAATAGAATAGCTTGGAACAATTAGTTCACTGACACAGTGAAAAGGTTGCCGGTAATGGGGCTCTTTGTAACGGAGATTGCACTTACTACAAGATCATGACCTCTTCTTGTTTGGAGATATTTGTCGTCATGAACGACATGTTAACCTCATTCCAGGAGTGGAGGTATCATGACATTATCGTGGAGTCCTACAGCTCAGTGGTCAGAGCACTTGGCTCGCAAGGCGAGAGGACCCAGGTTCGATTCCCGAGTGGGACGAAACCTTGGGCGAGTTTCCTTACTGCAAACGCCTATGTTTACCAGCAGAAAGCAGGAACCTGGTTGTTACTCAATTGGCGATTTGCTTTTCCTGGGGTAATAATCCCTTCAAAATAAATAAATAAATAAATAATACTTTCGTCACTCAATCCACGGCTGTTTGTGGGACGCTGCTGTGCGCAATTGGATGTCCCCGTTTCGCCCATAAAATAAACAAGACTTTTGTATTCGCCTTCATGTGTTTGTGTAGCTGCAGAATTGTCATGCTCAAATGCTAAATTAAGTTTAATTACTCACGCATTCCAGCCAGTGTTATGAAATCCCTTGTGACGTCTTGCAGATGTGAAAGGCGCTATTTCAAATGGCTATTTGCATTGCATTGCAATTCAGCTTTCTCAAGAAATAAAATTTACGCCTTTGTTTACCCAGCAGTAAGTAGGAACCCGGATGTTAGTCGATTGGCAGGTCGCTTTTTGGGGATAATAATCCCTTAAAAACAAAAAATAAATTAAAAAGATATATAACAATTTGGTCACTCAATCCACGACTGTTTGTGGGACGCTGCTGTGCACAATTGGCTGCTGTGATACGCCCACAAAATATACAGTCAATTCACTTTACAGTATATCCTGTGAAGCGCTTTGAGACGTCTCGAAGACGTGATAAGGCTCTATCTCAAATGCAAGGATTATTATTGTTACATATTTGTTGGTTTGACCAGAATTTCACACTTGCAGTGCAACCTTGGGAAATCAACATCAAATTGCTTTATCTTAACATTGTTAAGACTGTAATTTCTTGAGTTCTCTGGGACACTATCCTGTGAGAGGGATGTTATATAAACGCTGTTGTTATTGTTCTTCTTCCCACTCAGTTTGTTAACCCTTAACAGTTAGCTGGCCAGAAAATGCTCTCTCAACTGCATTTTCTTGTTAGATGCATCCTGATGGAAAGATTGGTGAATGATTGATTTTCAGGAAAACCAAAATAAATCATAGAATCATAGAATTAAGCAGCACAGAAGGAGGCCATTCGGCCCATCTTGTCTGTGCTGGGTTTTCAAAAAGAGCTTCCAATTCAGTCCCATTCCTGCGCTTAGCAGTGTCCCATGAAGCGCTTTGAGACGTCTCAAGGACATAGTAATGCTCTACATCAAATGCGAGGATTATTATTATTGTTTCATGAGTGTTCCTTATCAAATTTCAGCCCCAAAGAATTGTTTTCCTCGCAGAAGAAGGGCATTCAGCCCAGCATGTCTGTGCTTCTCCGACCTGTCACTCTTTTAACTCTTTCTAAGTCACTCTTTTATTTTATTTATTTGTCCTACTTTCCAGCTCTGTATCTCTGTATCCACAAGTTGTGTGGTTTTAGCTGCTTAGACTCCAGTGTTGAGGTGTGTTGCGCATTCCATTCCAACAATCTATCTCTGGGATTTCCTCTGTTATCCTCTGATAGTGTTATTATAATAATAATCCTTGCATTTGATGCAGCGCCTTATCTCGTCTTTGAGGCGTCTCAAAGCGCTTCACAGAACATACTGCAAAGTGGACTGACTGTGTATTTTGTGGGTAAAACAAAATAATAAATAAAGACTTTAATGTCTTAGGTTAGTTAACGTTTGGTGAAGGGTTAGATTTCTGTATGTGTGACTCACTCCCTCTCCCCTTTACTCGCACTTAATATTGAGCTGCTCTGAAGTACCATGTCTGGTGATCACTGTTGCTGTTAAACAGCACTTAGTCCCCGTGATGTGACCTGAGCTCACGTGTTCGAAACTCTTTCTAAAACCAAACACTGGGGTTGGAAAAAGTGCTGGTCAGAAGAACTGCAGTGTAAATGGTGCCTTGCCTTGGGGGAAAAAAATGCATCTCCACATACTTCAAACCAATCCGCGAGATCTCGGACCAGGCAAACCTTTTGATCGGAGCCGAAATCTTGTCGATTGATGAGCTGTCAACTGTAGCAGATGCAATTTGCGTCCCAAGACGCTTTTTTTCTGGCTCAAAGTACCCTTTTACGCTGCTGTTTTCCCACCAAGCATTCTTTTCAACTCCAAGGTTATGGACCAGTGTTACCTCTTGCTGGCTCAAGAACACAAAGCTAAATGGGTCTTCAATATGAGAGCGTCACGTAATTTACTTTGGCGGAATCTTCAGAGGGTCAAAAAGTATCTCTGCCCAACGTCCTCAATGAAGACCTGGATGTGAGTATGTGCGTCGTTAAGGACTGTACTGAACTTATTGCAAAACATGCAATTAATTAAGGAGCGATAAGATTCACATAAAGGCATTTTCTTTCAAAACAAGATTGAGAAGCTTAGCTTTGGGGAAAAAAAACAGAGGATAGGAACCATCAAATAGTGAGTAGCTGATGCTCAGCTTGTGTCTGTAGATTTGAGGAGGAGAGAACGACTGAGGCAGGGAAGGAATTCAAGTCCTTCTGAAATCTCTGAGAGTGAATGATTCTCAGTTTTTCAACACAGAGAGAGGATGCACGATCGTGGAAGTGTGTGAAAGACGAGGTATTTGGAGCAAATGGGAAACAAATGGGGAACTTCCAGAGGAGGAACTACCATCATAGAGATAGAGAAAGAAAGAGGCTGCAAACTAGTGATTAGAGATGTCTCGCTGATCCAATGATAAGGTTTTCTGCTATCCCAAGTCAAATCTTACTTGTCAAATCTATTGAGTTCAAGCTGCAGAAATTCAGCTTAATCTGGAAAGCAAACTGGTTAGGCTGCCTCTGAATACTGAGTACAGTCTGACCATCACAACTAAGGGGCCTTAGAAGCAACGCAAATGAGAGGAATAAGGGTAAACCTCAGTGTTCGTGTTGGGTTACGAGAGCAACAACAACTTGCACTTATATAGCGCCCTCCATGGCAGGGTAGCATCTCAGAGCGCTTAACAGTGGCAGAGCCTGACTAGAACGACGAGATAGGTAAGCAGGATACACCCCTCCAGAGAGAGAGAGAGAGAGAGCGCATTCCATTCCAACAATCTCTCTCTGGGGTTTCCGTGTGTAGGTGGGACGCGTGGAATTCTCAGCTCGGTTTGGAGACTCTTAAGCAACGGTGATGGGTTTCCGCGTGTGTCAGACACCCGGCTGGGCAAAAAAAAACATGAAATACAGTTCCAGGATCCAGTTCCAGCGTATTTCAATGAGAAATGGACGGCTAATTTTCAGCAGCACCGAACAGTTTGGGCAACTCACTGTTTTCGGCGACTACAGTTACTTTCAATAATTCTCTTCCAGCAGTGTCGATTGGAGAGGCGTCTTCCTATTTAACAAGGGGTTAGGTTTCGCAGTATTTCTTGGTCAAGGAATCCGAAAGGAATCTTCTGATAACCTGTCGGGCATTTCATTACGACATGAGGGAATCCCACTCCAAAAATAGATGAATCCAAAATGAGGCGCTGTATCAAATGCAAGGATTATTATTATTATTATTGTGTAAGATAATAGGCAGTGGCAGATCTAAAGGGAGTTTAGGACGAACTTCTTCACGCAAGGGGTGGTGAGAATTTGGGACTTGCTCCCGGAACCTGTGGTTGAACCAAAGAGCATCAAAATATTTATAATGATTTTTGATTTGTTGTAGTGCCTTATCACGTCTCAAAGTGTTTCACAGAATTTTGCGGCAATTGTACTACTTCAGTGAACGAGCACTTAGCGTATAGAACGGGCTCCCGGGGAGACAGATAGACGGTGGAAGCAGAAAATGATGTTTGTTTCAAGAACAAATGAGAGGTATTTCTGCTCGAAAATAATATTCGGGGATAGATACAGTATATAGTTTGGGGCGCGACATGTCAAGCGACGGGCAGGATGGTGGAAGGTGAAGTAGGTGGACCTTGGACTTCTTTTACCCAGTAAATTCTTAGGTTCTTATGAATCTTGAGGCATGCACGCCGGAGAAGGGAATATAAAGGGGTTTGGAGGCAGATGGAGTCTTGTGTGAAGTTCAAATACCAGTAAGGACTATTTGGGGGCCAAACGGCATATTTCTGTGCCATATCACGCTGAGTAATTCTGTGTGAACATCACAATATTCCAATTTTTAAATCCAATATTTTCAAAAGTAATACTAATTTGGTCACTCAATCCACGACAATTGGCTGCTGCGTTTCGTTGACAAAATGTACGGTCAATTCACTTTACAGTATATTCTGTGAAGCGCTTTGAGACGTCTCGAAGACGTGATAAGGTGCTGTATCAACGCAAGGATTATTATTCCAGGTGCGTTAATGCTTTATTTTCCAGAAACCTTAGCCAAAGATTCCTGATTTTAGAATACTGTAGTCTTAATTGTCTGATATGGGTGTAATTATGTTAAGGAGTGTTATGTTACTATCACTTTATTAAGGACAGAGGTTGCAGTGCTAAGCATACCTTCCACAGTGCCCAACTCAAGAAAAGCTTATACAAGGTTTCCAATCTTAGGTCAAAAGTGAGTCACACGTGAGTTTATAACAATAATAATATAATAATAATAATCTTTGCATTTGATATAACGCGTTATCGTGTCTCCGAGATGTCTCAAAGCTCTTCATAGAACAAACTGTAAAGTAAATTGGCTGTAGGTTTTGTGGGCGAAACACAGCAGCCAATTGCGCACAGCAGCGTCCCCGCAAACACTCGTGGCTTGAAGGGGCCAATTTATTATTTTTTTTAAGGAATTATTACCCCCGGAAAAGCGAACCACCAATCGACTAACAACCGGGTTCCTGCTTACTGTGAGGTGACTGAGGCATGTGGAGTAAGGCAACTTGCCCAACGCTTCGCCCTGTCTGGGAATTGAACCCAGGTCCGCTCGCTTGCGAGGCGAGTGCTCCAACTACTGAGCTGCAGAACTCTACAGAGCTTGTGTAGTAAGTGACAGATGAGACTCATTTTATTTTCTCTTCCCTTCACAGCAAGAAAAAAACCAAAGATCATGAACAAGGAAGAGAAGTTGATGTATCTGACCCTTGTATCCGGGTGGTTACACCGATGTTCCTGTATAATATGAACTTCAAAAAATTAGGAAAATGCATGATTATCAATAACAAGAACTTTGATGCAAAAACAGGTACTGTACCTCTTTACTATTTCACAACAGAAAGCAATATATAACATCGCTTTTCTGCCGCCTCAAGGGTCATTATTCTTTGTCTCCCTTTTTGACCAATATTGTGTTTAATAATGCTATTCAATAATAATAATCCTTGCATTTGACACAGCGCCTTATCACGTCTTCGAGACGTTTCGAAGCGCTTCACAGGACGTACTGTAAAGTGAATTGACCGTATATTTTGTGGGCGAAACGCGGCAGCCGATTGCGCACAGCAGCGTCCCCACAAACAGTCGTGGGATTGACCAATTTTAAATGTTTCGCATGAAAGCGGTTAGTTGTCACATTGAATTGGAGACCAACAACAATGCTTCTATGACCTATTTCTCCAATGCTTTCCTGAGACCGCAACATCTGCAGCCAAATGCAAAGGTAGGCGACCTGAGCTCAGACTTGTACCAATCCTGTTCTACGCTAACCGTGCGGCAGAGCATGGAATAGCTTTGTGAGAAGATGCCAACACACACACTATATACATATACACATATACACATATACACTAGTCCCATCTTGTTACCACCTTGAACCATCGTTACCAGGAATGTGTTTAAAAGCACATAGCAATATGCTCCTATTAAAATGTGTAATTCTTGGACGATGTGATTGTTAAAATATTAAACCACTTCCCCCCCCCTCCCCCCGAAGTTATTGCAGGATCAAAACCGGTTTCTCGAGTGCCTGATGCCTCAGTTTCTGTTTACGTCCCATAGCTCAGTGGTTAGAGAGTTCCAGAAACCTGGGTTCGATTTCCGGTCGGGCGAAACCTTGGGCAAGTTTCCTTTCCTCCACGCGCCTGATAATAATCCATCGGGGAAATACATAAATAAATAAATAAATAAATAACAATTTGGTCACTCAATCCACGACTGTGTGTGGCGACGCTGCTGTGCGCAATTGGCTTCTGTGTTTCGCCCACAAATATACAGTCAATTCACTTTACAGTATATTCTGTGAAGCGCTTTCAGACGTCTCGAAGATCAAATGCAAGGATTATTATTATAATTATTATGTCCTAGAATCTGACCAATATTTAACAGCTTTGGGTTCTTTGAGAAAAGTGAAGGTATTGGTAATAATAATTTGTTGTAATAAGTATAGCTCCTTTTGAGTAAGATAACTGCCTTAAGGCGCTTCATAAAGACAATGAGGATTGCCAAACAGAGAGGAAAGGAAGGGGAATGTAAGGATGTTGACCTCAGGCTCGATTGAAGTGATACATTATTTTTTAATAGCGTTTTGGAAGCGAAGAGAGAACGTAAGAACGTAAGAAGAAGAAGGGTTTGGGGGAGGGAATTTGGGGGAGGGAATTCCAGAGCGCAGCGGCCTTGTGGCTGAAGGCACGACATTTTAAACGACATTCTGTTAAAACCTTAACATCTATCAATTCTCGACAAATTATGATGTCCGACTGAGACAGTTCTGCAAAGTGATTTTTTGAGTCACCGTAACTCACCACCTTTTTTTTTTAACAGGAATGAATGTTCGGAATGGCACAGACACTGATGCTGGTAACCTGCAGAAGTGTTTTCATTCCTTGGGTTTCAACGTTTCTGTTTACAATGATCAAACTTGTAGGCAGATGGAGAACATACTGAAACGTGGTGAGTACCCATTCAAATTCGATGTTCTAATTTAACTTTACGTTCCCATGTTTTACTTCTTAGTTAAGACAAATGCTGTGCAATTGTAGTTAGAAATCAACCTTCACTACTTCCCCAATCATCAATTTCCAACACGTTTCGTAGCTTTCAAAATGAGTTGGAAGGAGATTTTCTGCAACGTAAAATCTGAGTATAGAGGTCAGCTTTCAAATACACCAAATAAACTACTCAACACTAATCTTCTCTGAAGTCAAATTGAGAATCTGACTGTTAGTCGTTTCAAGACTGTTATTTGATAGACAAGTTTCAGATGATGTCCTGGAGGATGAGAGTGAAGTTTGAGTGAATTGCTAATGTCGCTGAAACGCACAGACTCTGGTACAGCCCCAAACACACTCACACACACCTGTCCCCTCATATAATGTTCATTGGCAGTCAGACTAGGAAGTCCACCATAGTCTGCTAATGTGTAGCAGGATGGTCTTTTGAAGGCAGCAGTTGCCATGTGATATATATTGGGATCACGGGGACAATAGAGCACAATAACAATTCTGACAAAAGTCTTGTGTTGGGAAGGGCTGGTGATACACAAATGCCAGGCTGCTGGGGAATTGCACAGTCACTATATACGATTTGTATAACAGTGAAACTGAACATTGAAAGCACAGGAAAGGTATTTTTTTACCCTCATCTTTTATTTTGATGTAAATTTGTAAGTTCACCAGAGAGGATTCTTTGACACTTGTAAGAAAACTATCGTTTATTCCTCCTCTTTTTTNAGCTGCTCAGGAAAACCACAGTGACCATGCATGTTTTGCATGTATCCTTTTAAGCCATGGGGATGAAGGCTTGATCTACGGCACGGATGGACCAATGCCCATAAAGACTCTTACCTCCCTCTTCCGAGGAGATATGTGCAAGAGTCTTGTGGGGAAACCCAAACTCTTTTTCATTCAGGTAACCCGACCACGAATGAGATTTTCTTTTGTTAAAAAATCTTAACTGTATAAAAGTTAATTGCGAAGCATTTAATATTTTCATAACACTTGTTGGGCTTTTAACGTTACAAGTTTAATGCTTTCAGTGCTTGGTGTCCAAAGAATGGCCAACATCAAATTGGACGAACTATCTGAATCACTGCATTCAGTTCCACTTTTTTATATATACATATATATATATATATCTTCGAGGTAGTATTGAGGAGAAATTCCACTTGAATCTGGATTTACTCTAATCGCACAATTGTTGAATTCAGTCTCAGCTTTGAGGACGGCTTTGCGTCGTTCTTGAAAGAGCCCTCAGAAAGCTGGCTGGAAAGTCAAGGCTGTGTTTAAAAGTTTGCTGAATTCTGGATGCTCTGAAAATGTCACACAGAATCACAGAATCCTACCGCACAGAAGGAGGCCATTTGGCCCATCGTGCCACTGTTGCTCTTTGAAAGAGCCATCCAATTTGTCCCACTCCCCTCTCTTTCCCCACGGCCTTGCAATTTTTTTTTCTTTTCAAGTATATGTCCATTTCCCAACCGTGGAGACAATGACCCAATTTTATTTGGGGGATGGTTGGCCAGGACACCGGGAGAGAGAAATTCCCTTCTCTTTTCTCGAATGGCGACATGGGATCTTTAAAAATTGTCCTGAACGGACAGATGGGAAAAGAGGAAGGTTTTCACATGCCTTCTGTCTGGGTTGGATTCCAACTCATTCATGGAGGTTACACAGCAATGCACTCTCTCACCCTCCCATCCAGATCCACAAAAGAAAAGGTTTATTTTCAACAAAGCCAATCGATGGGGCCAGACCAGAGACAAGCCCATGTATTGTATCATGATTGGTGCAATAACAATTATAATAAATGGTCAGCACAAGTAGGGAGCGAATGGCACAGTCTGTTAGAAATACAGTCCTGTCGTTCTTGGACCAGCCTGGTGTTTAATCCAGCCCAGACAACCGGGATAGAGGTCTCCATTTGGGCACATTGTGAGGATCCCGGGTGAAATGAGATTGTGCAGTCTTAGCCAAGATCCTAATAATAATAATAATAATCCTTGCATTTGATACAGAGTCTTATCACGTCTTCTAGGGGTCTCAAAGCGCTTCACAGAATATACTGCAAAGTGAATTGACTGTATATTTTGTGGGCGAAACGTGGCAGCCAATTGCGCACAGCAGCGTCCCACAAACAGTCGTGATTAAATTATTATTATTTTTGAGGTGTGTGGAGTAAGGAAACTTGTGAATTGTGTCTGAGTCCTCTCACTTGTGGGGAGAGTGCTCTAACCACTAAGCTACAGGGCTCCACTAGATCCTAGTAATGGTGATCTTAAGACACAAAATTATCTCTAATCTGACAAGGTTACGGACTCGAGGGATGGGAAATGGACACTATCTCGCTGACCCAGCAGAAGCTAACCTCTTGAAGATTGCTCTATCTTCAATGCTGTGGAAACATAGGAGCATTTTTGTAACTGAATCCTAAGGAGGTGCTTTGGAATACATCTCACCCCATCCCTACCTCTCTATGGTTTAGTATAGAGGGTATAATAATCCTTGCATTTGATACAGCACCTTATCACATCACTCGGATGTCTCAAAGCGCGTCACAGGATTTTACTGTGAAATATAGTGACTGTATATTTGGAGGCAATAGCTGAACTGTGATGGTCTAATTCAATAATTGATTATGTGAAGCTTGGACCAGTGTCTGATCAGTCCACAGCGCAATGTATTTCATTATATCAAACGTGATTTTCAAGGATTATTATCTCCACAATTAATTTTCATTCACGTTGTGTGCATTGATACTTCTTACCTTTTTTGATGTGTGTGTTTGGTCGTCAACTTGGACCCGATGCTTCCTTCGCTGTTCAAGCAGTTGGACACGCAACCACAGAAGCAGCTACTATGAAAGAGCATGGAATTTTTCTCCCAAATTTACATCTATTTTAATGCAATCTTCAACAACAACAAATGACATTGACTCAGCGTCTCACGTTGGGAGGATGTCCCAAGGCCTGGACGGTCAGGGATTTGGTTCTGAGATGGGGGTTGGGATCAGAGGTGGTGGAGGGCAGGGAAGGTGAGGGTAGGAGGGTGATCGAAGGCGCGGTAGAAGAGGAGGGTCTCGAGAACGTGCTTTGAGATGTCCAACGTGTTTTCAACGATTCTAGCGTTGTCTGGTTTATAATTAACGCACGCCTCTTGGATAGTTAAGACAGCCTTTAACGATCCACACTAAGTGAAGGTTATGCTGCATCATATCCGGGCACTTCAGATAACAAGAGGAGCTTGATTTGGGTCAAAACAGAGACATATTCTCAGTACAAACAAAGCACGCAGCAAACTAGATTAACAAATATTTGCCCGATCTCTTACAGCAGGGGAATATTGCAAGCAAACCTACAATTCTCGAGCACTGTGACATTCAGACAATTCAAACAAGCAGGTTATGGAAAAAAGTACTTACAAATGTTCTCTCTCCCTCTTGAGGGAGGTACCCTGATTACCTAATTCCAGGGAGTATTGGGTGTAGGTTGACAAGAGCCAAGGCTTGGGGACACCAGAGTATGTAGTTTGGGTACTGCTGGAGTTTAACTAGTTAAATCCAGATGCCAGCATTCAAAGTCAATATCACAAAGGTATTTTTCATGAGTAATAATAATAATAATAATAATCCTTGCATTTGATATATGTTTGTTTGTTGATGGACCCAGATGCCAATGATTGTTCCATATTTAGTTTTCTTCAATTTACCATGAAACTAAATTGAGAAAAACTAGCAATTTTTTTAAACCTATTATGATAAACCAACAAAGAATTACAGGCATAGTAATCCAGTGAAAGTGTCACTAACTGAAAATCAATCAACTTTAACTCAACTCCTGATGAATTATAATATAATATATAATCCTTGCATTTGTTATTGTGCCTTATCACATCTTCGAGGCGTCTCAAAGAGCTTCACAGAGTATACTGTCAAGTGGATCTGCATGATCTCAAATTCTTTCCTGTATTCATTCAAGACCCAACTGTAGATGTACTCCTTTGACCACATTTTCCCTCCCCGCCCCACCCCGTTCAGACCCCTCCACAGGCAGCCAGTAACTATTATGATGCCTTCTGTGCAAATCAAAACATGACCGAAATTATAATAATATAATAATAATCCTTTGGCATTTGATATCGCGCCTTATCACGTCTCAAAGCGCTTCACAGGATATACTGTAAAGTGAATTAACTGTATGTATCTTTGTGGGCGAAACACAGCAGCCAATTGCACACTGGGTGTCCCACAAGCAGCAATAACAAAATTACATTTGTATTGAGCCTTTCACATCGGGAGGACGTCTCAAGGCGCTGGACAATCAGTATTTCAGTTTGATTTAATCAGTGGTGGATTGAGTGACCAGTTTATTAATATTATTCTTTTGAAGTTGGTTATTAAAAAGTCACACCTCTGACCGGAACGTGGTAAATATTCAAGAAAGAGTCCTCGTCTCAAAAGTTCGTTTAGAAAGATAAACCAAGTATATTTGATTAAAATAATTCTGTTTATACAGTTTAAAATTCACAGCTCGTCATGCAAAATGTACTGAAATTCACACCGCAGAGGTTGTTGAAAAACTAGCCTTGTAAATGGTTTCTCTAAAGAAAAATGTGTTAACAGGATTCTGAGACGCATCTGTACCATTCATACGTTGCGCTGCAATCATACATTGTGTGTTTATGAGTTTCTTTTTAAACCATATAACCATTTATAAACGGGTTGCACTTCATTTGTGAACTGTTTCCGGACAATATCAGAGCAGACATGTTGAGGTCAGTTTGGGACTATATAAGAATGTGAAAATACGAGAAAAATAAAGGAACTGATTCATAATACAGAGAAAAGCCAACATCTTCTTTTTTTTTAACCTGAACTCTGCGATTTACTACAGCAAAATTCTAAAATGGTTCACTCAAACTACCCAATGAACAGCTTAAACTTTACCATTCAAAATCTCCCTGAAATGTAAACTGAACTATATTGTGCCTTTTTTTAAAAATTTATTTCTGTTTAAAGTAAAGTTCTTTTGTCAGCATGGAGACAACGCAGGGGATCTGTTTCTTCTCACTGAACTGGGGGTCGAGCGACTGAGACTCAAAATCCATGGCCACCATATAGTTGACTCTGGTGAGGATCTGCATGATCTCAAATTCTTTCCCGTATTCATTCAAGGCATTGACCAGGGCCTGAACAAACCAAGACCCTCTTCCTGGATTCCTCCATGAGTAGTAGCCTGCAATGACATTCATTCCCATTTGTAATTCACAGACAAGAAATGGCACACTAATAGTAATAATAATCATTAATAACCCGTGCATTTGATACAGCGCCTTATCACGTCTTCGGGACGTCTCAAAGCGCTTCACAGGATATACTGCAGAGTGGATTGATGGGTATTTTGTGAGCGAAACGCGGCGGCCAATTGTGCACAGCAACGTCCCACCAACAGTCGTGGATTGAGTGACCAAATTATTATTTATTTATAAATTAATAAATTTTTTAGGCGATTATTAACCACGGAAAAGTGATTCCCCCCAATCGTCTGCTAACCGGGTTCCTATTTACTGCTGGTAAACAGAGGTGTGTGGAGTAAGGAAACTTGCCCAATGCTTCGCCCTGCCCGGGAATCAAACCCGGGTCCACTCGCGTGCGAGGCGAGCGCACTAACCACTGAGCTACAGGCCTCCATGTTTGATATACTGTGCCTCAATAACAAACAGATAATATAATGTTCATATAATGCATTTTTGGTGACCACTTCCCCTCACTGTTTCTCTTTACTGTTAGGACTTGAACATTTGCAGTACCTGGCACAGTGGAATATGCATACAGGAAATCAGCTTCTACTGGGATTTTGTGTTGAGGATTTGCGTCGGTCTCTTCATTATTTGTTGGCCCAGAATCAGTCTGTATCCCTTCATCAAACTTTGAACCTCTGCAAGCCTGAAGCAAACCAGGTAAAGTGCAGTATATGTCTTCACAGTACAGTACTGAACTGTGTCAGTGACAATGTAAATACTACGCAAAGAAATCACAAATAACTCACATTATTAGCATAATAATAATAATCCTTGCATTTGGTATAGCGCTTTTCACGTCGGGAGGACGTCCCAAAGCGCTTCACAGAACACACTGTAAAGTGAATTGACTGTATATTTGTGGGCAAACGCGGCAGCCAATTGCGCACAGCAATGTCCCACAAACAGTCATGGATTGAAAATGACCAATTTATTATTGTTTTTGGTTTTGGAGGGATTATTATTAGGCTCTGTGTGGAGTAAGGAAACTTGCCCAAGGTTTCGCCCTCTGCCTGGAATTGAACTCAGGTCTCTCACTTGCAAAGCGAGTGCTCTAACCACTGAGCTACAGGACTCCCAATGTATATATTCGTACGGGGACAAATTCCACCTGGGTCCAGATTTACTTTATTTATGTCATCTGGAATGCGCTGCCTGAAAGGGTGGTGGAAGCAGATTCAACAATAACTTTCAAAAGGGAAATGGACATATACTTGAAAAGAAAAAAAAATTGCAAGGCAGTGGGGAAAGAGAGGGGAGTGGGACAAATTGGATGGCTCTTTCAAAGAGCAACAGTGGCACGATGGGCCAAATGGCCTCCTTCTGTGCGGTAGGATTCTGTGATTCTGTGTGACATTTTCAGAGCATCCAGAATTCAGCAAACTTTTAAACACAGCCTTGACTTTCCAGCCAGCTTTCTGAGGGCTCTTTCAAGAACGACGCAAAGCCGTCCTCAAAGCTGAGACTGAATTCAACAATTATGCGATTAGAGTAAATCCAGATTCAAGTGGAATTTCTCCTCAATACTACCTCGAAGATATATATATATGTATATATTAAAAAGTGGAACTGAATGCAGTGATTCAGATAGTTCGTCCAATTTGATGTTGGCCATTCTTTGGACACCAAGCACTAAAAGCATTAAACTTGTAACGTTAAAAGCCCAACAAGTGTTATGAAAATATTAAATGCTTCGCAATTAACTTTTATACAGTTAAGATTTTTTAACAAAAAAAATCTCATTCGTGGTCGGGTTACCTGAATGAAAAAGAGTTTGGGTTTCCCCACAAGACTCTTGCACATATCTCCTCGGAAGAGGGAGGTAAGAGTCTTTATGGGCATTGGTCCATCCGTGCCGTAGATCAAGCCTTCATCCCCATGGCTTAAAAGGATACATGCAAAACATGCATGGTCACTGTGGTTTTCCTGAGCAGCTAAAAAAAGAGGAGGAATAAACAATAGTTTTCTTACAAGTGTCAAAGAATCCTCTCTGGTGAACTTACAAATTTACATCAAAATAAAAGATGAGGGTAAAAAAATACCTTTCCTGTGCTTTCAATGTTCAGTTTCACTGTTATACAAATTATATATAGTGACTGTGCAATTCCCCAGCAGCCTGGCATTTGTGTATCACCAGCCCTTCCCAACACAAGACTTTTGTCAGAATTGTTATTGTGCTCTATTGTCCCCGTGATCCCAATATATATCACATGGCAACTGCTGCCTTCAAAAGACCATCCTGCTACACATTAGCAGACTATGGTGGACTTCCTAGTCTGACTGCCAATGAACATTATATGAGGGGACAGGTGTGTGTGAGTGTGTTTGGGGCTGTACCAGAGTCTGTGTGTTTCAGCGACATTAGCAATTCACTCAAACTTCACTCTCATCCTCCAGGACATCATCTGAAACTTGTCTATCAAATAACAGTCTTGAAACGACTAACAGTCAGATTCTCAATTTGACTTCAGAGAAGATTAGTGTTGAGTAGTTTATTTGGTGTATTTGAAAGCTGACCTCTATACTCAGATTTTACGTTGCAGAAAATCTCCTTCCAACTCATTTTGAAAGCTACGAAACGTGTTGGAAATTGATGATTGGGGAAGTAGTGAAGGTTGATTTCTAACTACAATTGCACAGCATTTTTCTTAACTAAGAAGTAAAACATGGAAACGTAAAGTTAAATTAGAACATCGAATTTGAATGGGTACTCACCACGTTTCAGTATGTTCTCCATCTGCCTACAAGTTTGATCATTGTAAACAGAAACGTTGAAACCCAAGGAATGAAAACACTTCTGCAGGTTACCAGCATCAGTGTCTGTGCCATTCCGAACATTCATTCCTGTTAAAAAAAAANGGTGGTGAGTTACGGTGACTCAAAAAATCACTTTGCAGAACTGTCTCAGTCGGACATCATAATTTGTCGAGAATTGATAGATGTTAAGGTTTTAACAGAATGTCGTTTAAAAGGTTTGGCAGCCGTGCCTTCAGCCACAAGGCCCCTGCGCTCTGGAACTCCCTCCCCCAAACCCTTCTTCTTCTTACGTTCTCTCTTCGCTTCCAAAACGCTATTAAAAAAAAAAGTATCACAAATCGAGCCTGAGGTCAACATCCTTACATTCCCCTTCCTTTCCTCTCTGTTTGGCAATCCTCATTGTCTTTATGAAGCGCCTTAAGGCAGTTATCTTACTCAAAAGGAGCTACACTTATTACAACAAATTACAATTTACAACAAATTATTATTACCAATACCTTCACTTTTCTCAAAGAACCCAAAGCTGTTAAATATTGGTCAGATTCTAGGACATAATAATAATAATAATAATCCTTGCATTTGATCTTCGAGACGTCTGAAAGCGCTTCACAGAATATACTGTAAAGTGAATTGACTGTATATTTGTGGGCGAAACACAGAAGCCAATTGCGCACAGCAGCGTCGCCACACACAGTCGTGGATTGAGTGACCAAATTGTTATTTATTTATTTATTTATTTATGTATTTCCCCGATGGATTATTATCAGGCGCGTGGAGGAAAGGAAACTTGCCCAAGGTTTCGCCCGACCGGAAATCGAACCCAGGTTTCTGGAACTCTCTAACCACTGAGCTATGGGACGTAAACAGAAACTGAGGCATCAGGCACTCGAGAAACCGGTTTTGATCCTGCAATAACTTCGGGGGGAGGGGGGGGGGAAGTGGTTTAATATTTTAACAATCACATCGTCCAAGAATTACACATTTTAATAGGAGCATATTGCTATGTGCTTTTAAACACATTCCTGGTAACGATGGTTCAAGGTGGTAACAAGATGGGACTAGTGTATATGTGTATATGTGTATATGTATATAGTGTGTGTGTTGGCATCTTCTCACAAAGCTATTCCATGCTCTGCCGCACGGTTAGCGTAGAACAGGATTGGTACAAGTCTGAGCTCAGGTCGCCTACCTTTGCATTTGGCTGCAGATGTTGCGGTCTCAGGAAAGCATTGGAGAAATAGGTCATAGAAGCATTGTTGTTGGTCTCCAATTCAATGTGACAACTAACCGCTTTCATGCGAAACATTTAAAATTGGTCAATCCCACGACTGTTTGTGGGGACGCTGCTGTGCGCAATCGGCTGCCGCGTTTCGCCCACAAAATATACGGTCAATTCACTTTACAGTACGTCCTGTGAAGCGCTTCGAAACGTCTCGAAGACGTGATAAGGCGCTGTGTCAAATGCAAGGATTATTATTATTGAATAGCATTATTAAACACAATATTGGTCAAAAAGGGAGACAAAGAATAATGACCCTTGAGGCGGCAGAAAAGCGATGTTATATATTGCTTTCTGTTGTGAAATAGTAAAGAGGTACAGTACCTGTTTTTGCATCAAAGTTCTTGTTATTGATAATCATGCATTTTCCTAATTTTTTGAAGTTCATATTATACAGGAACATCGGTGTAACCACCCGGATACAAGGGTCAGATACATCAACTTCTCTTCCTTGTTCATGATCTTTGGTTTTTTTCTTGCTGTGAAGGGAAGAGAAAATAAAATGAGTCTCATCTGTCACTTACTACACAAGCTCTGTAGAGTTCTGCAGCTCAGTAGTTGGAGCACTCGCCTCGCAAGCGAGCGGACCTGGGTTCAATTCCCAGACAGGGCGAAGCGTTGGGCAAGTTGCCTTACTCCACATGCCTCAGTCACCTCACAGTAAGCAGGAACCCGGTTGTTAGTCGATTGGTGGTTCGCTTTTCCGGGGGTAATAATTCCTTAAAAAAAATAATAAATTGGCCCCTTCAAGCCACGAGTGTTTGCGGGGACGCTGCTGTGCGCAATTGGCTGCTGCGTTTCGCCCACAAAACCTACAGTCAATTTACTTTACAGTTTGTTCTATGAAGAGCTTTGAGACATCTCGGAGACACGATAACGCGTTATATCAAATGCAAAGATTATTATTATTATATTATTATTGTTATAAACTCACGTGTGACTCACTTTTGACCTAAGATTGGAAACCTTGTATAAGCTTTTCTTGAGTTGGGCACTGTGGAAGGTATGCTTAGCACTGCAACCTCTGTCCTTAATAAAGTGATAGTAATATAACACTCCTTAACATAATTACACCCATATCAGACAATTAAGACTACAGTATTCTAAAATCAGGAATCTTTGGCTAAGGTTTCTGGAAAATAAAGCATTAACGCACCTGGAATAATAATCCTTGCGTTGATACAGCGCCTTATCACGTCTTCGAGACGTCTCAAAGCGCTTCACAGAATATACTGGAAAGTGAATTGACCGTACATTTTGTCAACGAAACGCAGCAGCCATTGTCGTGGATTGAGTGACCAAATTAGTATTACTTTTGAAAATATTGGATTTAAAAATTGGAATATTGTGATGTTCACACAGAATTACTCAGCGTGATATGGCACAGAAATATGCCGTTTGGCCCCCAAATAGTCCTTACTGGTATTTGAACTTCACACAAGACTCCATCTGCCTCCAAACCCCTTTATATTCCCTTCTCCGGCGTGCATGCCTCAAGATTCATAAGAACCTAAGAATTTACTGGGTAAAAGAAGTCCAAGGTCCACCTACTTCACCTTCCACCATCCTGCCCGTCGCTTGACATGTCGCGCCCCAAACTATATACTGTATCTATCCCCGAATATTATTTTCGAGCAGAAATACCTCTCATTTGTTCTTGAAGCAAACAACATTTTCTGCTTCCACCGTCTATCTGTCTCCCCGGGGAGCCTGTTCTATACGCTAAGTGCTCGTTCACTGAAGTAGTACAATTGCCGCAAAATTCTGTGAAACACTTTGAGACGTGATAAGGCACTACAACAAATCAAAAATCATTATAAATATTTTGATGCTCTGTGGTTCAACCACAGGTTCCGGGAGCAAGTCCCAAATTCTCACCACCCCTTGCGTGAAGAAGTTCGTCCTAAACTCCCTTTAGATCTGCCACTGGCTATTATCTTACACAATAATAATAATAATAATCCTTGCATTTGATACAGCGCCTCATTTTGGATTCATCTATTTTTGGAGTGGGATTCCCTCATGTCGTAATGAAATGCCCGACAGGTTATCAGAAGATTCCTTTCGGATTCCTTGACCAAGAAATACTGCGAAACCTAACCCCTTGTTAAATAGGAAGACGCCTCTCCAATCGACACTGCTGGAAGAGAATTATTGAAAGTAACTGTAGTCGCCGAAAACAGTGAGTTGCCCAAACTGTTCGGTGCTGCTGAAAATTAGCCGTCCATTTCTCATTGAAATACGCTGGAACTGGATCCTGGAACTGTATTTCATGTTTTTTTTTGCCCAGCCGGGTGTCTGACACACGCGGAAACCCATCACCGTTGCTTAAGAGTCTCCAAACCGAGCTGAGAATTCCACGCGTCCCACCTACACACGGAAACCCCAGAGAGAGATTGTTGGAATGGAATGCGCTCTCTCTCTCTCTCTCTCTCTCTCTGGAGGGGTGTATCCTGCTTACCTATCTCGTCGTTCTAGTCAGGCTCTGCCACTGTTAAGCGCTCTGAGATGCTCCCCTGCCATGGAGGGCGCTATATAAGTGCAAGTTGTTGTTGCTCTCGTAACCCAACACGAACACTGAGGTTTACCCTTATTCCTCTCATTTGCGTTGCTTCTAAGGCCCCTTAGTTGTGATGGTCAGATTGTACTCAGTATTCAGAGGCAGCCTAACCAGTTTGCTTTCCAGATTAAGCTGAATTTCTGCAGCTTGAACTCAATAGATTTGACAAGGCAGATTTGACTTGGGATAGCAGAAAACCTTATCATTGGATCAGCGAGACATCTCTAATCACTAGTTTGCAGCCTCTTTCTTTCTCTATCTCTATGATGGTAGTTCCTCCTCTGGAAGTTCCCCATTTGTTTCCCATTTGCTCCAAATACCTCGTCTTTCACACACTTCCACGATCGTGCATCCTCTCTCTGTGTTGAAAAACTGAGAATCATTCACTCTCAGAGATTTCAGAAGGACTTGAATTCCTTCCCTGCCTCAGTCGTTCTCTCCTCCTCAAATCTACAGACACAAGCTGAGCATCAGCTACTCACTATTTGATGGTTCCTATCCTCTGTTTTTTTTCCCCAAAGCTAAGCTTCTCAATCTTGTTTTGAAAGAAAATGCCTTTATGTGAATCTTATCGCTCCTTAATTAATTGCATGTTTTGCAATAAGTTCAGTACAGTCCTTAACGACGCACATACTCACATACAGGTCTTCATTGAGGACGTTGGGCAGAGATACTTTTTGACCCTCTGAAGATTCCGCCAAAGTAAATTACGTGACGCTCTCATATTGAAGACCCATTTAGCTTTGTGTTCTTGAGCCAGCAAGAGGTAACACTGGTCCATAACCTTGGAGTTGAAAAGAATGCTTGGTGGGAAAACAGCAGCGTAAAAGGGTACTTTGAGCCAGAAAAAAAGCGTCTTGGGACGCAAATTGCATCTGCTACAGTTGACAGCTCATCAATCGACAAGATTTCGGCTCCGATCAAAAGGTTTGCCTGGTCCGAGATCTCGCGGATTGGTTTGAAGTATGTGGAGATGCATTTTTTTCCCCCAAGGCAAGGCACCATTTACACTGCAGTTCTTCTGACCAGCACTTTTTCCAACCCCAGTGTTTGGTTTTAGAAAGAGTTTCGAACACGTGAGCTCAGGTCACATCACGGGGACTAAGTGCTGTTTAACAGCAACAGTGATCACCAGACATGGTACTTCAGAGCAGCTCAATATTAAGTGCGAGTAAAGGGGAGAGGGAGTGAGTCACACATACAGAAATCTAGCCCTTCACCAAACGTTGACTAACCTAAGACATTAAAGTCTTTATTTATTATTTTGTTTTGCCCACAAAATACACAGTCAGTCCACTTTGCAGTATGTTCTGTGAAGCGCTTTGAGACGCCTCGAAGACGAGATAAGGCGCTGCATCAAATGCAAGGATTATTATTATTACAATAACACTATCAGAGGATAACAGAGGAAATCCCAGAGATAGATTGTTGGAATGGAATGCGCAACACACCTCAACACTGGAGTCTAAGCAGCTAAAACCACACAACTTGTGGATACAGAGATACAGAGCTGGAAAGTAGGACAAATAAATAAAATAAAAGAGTGACTTAGAAAGAATTAAAAGAGTGACAGGTCGGAGAAGCACAGACATGCTGGGCTGAATGCCCTTCTTCTGCGAGGAAAACAATTCTTTGGGGCTGAAATTTGATAAGGAACACTCATGAAACAATAATAATAATCCTCGCATTTGATGTAGAACATTACTATGTCCTTGAGACGTCTCAAAGCGCTTCACAGCATATAGTGTAAAGTGAATCGACTGGATGTTTTGTGGGCGAAATGTGGTAACCAATCGCACACAGCGGTGTCCCACAACAGTTGTGAGTGATCAAATTCTTCTTTTTATTACTTTTGAAGGGATTATTACCCCCAAAACGTGATCCGCGAATCGAGTAACAACCAAGTTCCTACTTACTGCTAGATAAACAGAGGCGTGTGGAGTAAGGAAACTTGCCCAATGTTTTACCCTGCCCGGGAATCAAACCCAGGTCCAATACCGTACTTATCCCTGCTCCTTGACTATCGCCAGGATATTCTCAATCATTCTCCAGTTGCCCTGAGGCTTGGAGAAGAGGTCGAAATGTCTCCTTCTCATTCCTTGCAAACGTGGCATATTTTTACAGTTCGAGGGAATCCCATCTCTCTTTTTTTTCCCCCACTCGGATTTCAATGCCCCAGAACAGAAAACTGATAAAATGAAATCAGCTCAATGTACGTTTTAGATGAAAAATTGTGCGCATACAGCAGATTTTCCTGTGAAGGGCTCTGAGACATCCTCCTGACATGAATGGCCCTGTACCAAATAGAAACAGGAGTAGGCTATTCAGCCCAACAAGGCTGTCCCACCACTCTATAAGATCATGGTTGATCTGTACCTCAAGTCCAGTTACCCGCCCTTGGCCCATATCCCTTAATACCTTGACCTAACAAACATCTACTTAAATATAAGGGATATTATTACTTTAGGCCAAACATCAAGATGTTGCTGCTATTTATAGCGACAGCAAGCCGAGATACCTGGATGGTTATCACAAAGAATGCATTATGAAACACTGGTAATTTGACCCTTTTTTCAATATCGTCCTCAAGATTAGCGACAGAAAATAAACCATTATCTTTGACAACTATCTGAGTTATGTGAAATGTAGATCAAAAAACACAAACCTCCTTCCATTCACCCGGTACCTTATTTACTGCAAACATCCTGTTTGAGAAAGGTGTGTTTCAGTAAACGTAACCGAAGCTTACATTTACTTTCACCGTAACACTGGTTATCTTACTTGCGAGGAAAACACCTGAAATGTTTTCAAAGGTCAACTGAACAGGTTATTAAACTGGCAGTATAGTTACAATAGTAATGCACACACACGCACAGAGTCACAGTGCCAATTATCCGGCACAATAATAATAATCCTTGC